GGGGGCGGGTCGCGCCGGGCCGCCGTAGCGCCTTTCTGGGCACTTGGAGGCCGTGGAGTGAGGGACCTGTCCCCTTCTTCTGACCCGTTCTGAGGGGCATCCAGACTGTCTCTGGCTTCGTGGCGCGGGTCACAGGAACACGGGCCTGTCGCTCGCCTCCGTGCTCGCCCCGGTCGCTGCGTGTCCGTCGTGGCTGATCTGGTCCCTCAGCCTGCAGGGACGGCTGAGTCGTGCCGGGGGAGCGTTGGTCTCTGCGGCCCGTGTCCCTGACTTAGGATCTGTGGGTTCTCAAAGTGCAGAGCTTTGGTCCCTCCTAGAGCCCCTGGAGGTAAATTGCAGAGACCTGCACCACCGGAGGAAGAAGAAAGGATAATGTTGCCTGTGCTTTGCTTACTGCCTTGCAGCTACTCTGACATGCTGACTGGATGTTTTACTCAGTTTTTGTAGACTTCTGTGTCTCCCACTTGCTGCTTACGTATGATGCTTTCTAAAAGGGTGCTCAGTTTTTTTATTTCTGTTTCCCTTACCCATCTATCATGTACTTTTATTTGTTGCTTGCTGCTGTTTTCGTTTGCTTACAGTGTTTGTGTCCTCTTTCTTGTTCTGAAATTATGATATAGCTGCTCTTCACGTGACATTGGATTACCTTAAACAGAGGACTGTAAAATTCCTTAGTTTGTCAAATATATTAACATATTCTGCTAAAACCAGGAAGACAATATTTAGGTCATTACTACTTAAGTTGTTAAATTGCAAAATTATATTCATGTGTTCAACAAATATTTTCCTATACTAATTCATATAAGCATTAAGTAAACAAACTGCTTTTTCTAAATATCTGGAAAAAAATATTTCATAACACTTAAATTTGTATATGATGCTACTCCCCACGGACAGGATATGAAAACTTTAAGGTGTACAGCATCTTCTTGAAACTAATTGATGTCTGCTGTTTGCTGGTTGTTTTTGAAGTACTTTGCAGGATTTGGCTACTCACACCAGCTCATGAAACCTTAGTAAAACTCAGTACCTGGCCTTGAACTGGTCAATTCCTTGCAGTTAGGAGTGGCTGCTGCCCAGTACTGCTTCATCTAGTCAGCAAGGGGCAAGAAGCCTGTTTTTTTCTGGAGAGAAAAAAAAGGTTGGAGAGGAGCTGCCTGACAATTCTGACAATTGGAGCTTTTTGCTACTGATTGCATTTTGAAAATAGCTTAGAAAATCTTGCCCTTCAGATTTCAGGATGTTTATAAACTTCTCATACTCCATTGATGCTCAGCTCTTTGAGAAACTAGACGTTTTTACTGCTAAAAAATGCAGTTTGTAGAAGTTGAGTAGGTATTGCCTGGTCTTGGAGCAAATGTAAGTTGTGTGTGTGGGTAACATCCCCCCCCGTAAGAACACAGTGGTGCCAGAGTCCTCCTGGGGAGTCTGGGGACACTGAGTGTGGAGTCTCACCATGTGCCAGAGGCTTCTTGTTGAATTAAGAAGCCCTTTCAATGTAAATTATAAAGGGCTTAAATGGATTTATTTTGTGAGTAGTCAGATGGGTCAGATCTCCTTATCCATACAGGTGAGGTCACAGTTTTCCAGATAAACTGAGTAGGGGTGAAGAACTCTTGCAGTCGTCAGCAAAGATTCTGGTCTTGTCTTGCAGGTGGCTACCATTGGGTGGCCTTTTTCCTCTGTCATGCATCCACACCAGCACGTCTCTGCAGCAAATTGGGAAGTGGGAGAAAAAGAACAGGATTGTTTACCCTCCACAGCTGCCCGGGGAACCTCGCAGACCAGCTGTAAGGACATGCCTGTGAATTCCCAAACCTGTTTGGTGTTCAGCAGCTTCTGTACAGATTGTCACTGTCTCTGGGTGGCTCCACAAGGCACTGGTTTGATAGATTATGCCTTTGTTATTGAAGTTTTTGGTCAGTTTGGCATATTTATGTTGTAAAAGTTAACATGATGTTGAAAGTTTTCTATTTTTGAACTATGTTGGAGCTTCAAGCTTCTTGCAAGTGATCACCTACCTAATATGATGCAAAGAGCAAAGGTACCAAAAGATTAGTTTTTGACAACAGTAGGTTTATGCCTGTTTCTCTCTGTCCCCTTTGATTATTGTTTTATAACTGGGAGGTACAGTTAAATGCAAACAGAAGCAAGACTCTTAATTTGTGTGAGTGTTGTGCACTTGATCCCTGAAGGGACTAATCAGTGCTGCTTTCTCTACAGCACAACCTGGCAGAATTTTAGGTTAATTCTACATTTTTTTTTTTTCTCACTCTTGAGAACTGATATTTTGGAATTCCTTTTTTGTAATTGTTCTTCATTGGGAATTAATCTGTTGTGGCCTCTGTTAGGCATACTGCTCAGCAAAGTGAAGTGTTTGCATCTTAAAAAGGGTTTTTTTTTGGACATGGGTTCTTGTGGGCCTTGAGCATTTATCACCTCTGTGCACACCGTGCCTAGGATGCAGAAATATGTGCTGTGTACTGTGCTGACTGTTGCAGTGTGTGTGAAAATGCAGCTATCGACCAACATGGTTATTAAATCAGGGGTTTTTTTACCTGCTCATAAAGAATGCCATCTTTTTCAAATTTGTATTGATGTTAAAGTTTACTAGCTAGTTTTGTTTCCCTTTGGTACAGCAATAATGTTAAGTGGGTCTTTAGAGACAACTTCTCATGCCAATCAAACTTGAAACTTCTGAAAAGCTAATTAAGTTCATTCTATTTATGTTGTTTAGTCACTATCCCAGTAAATTAACTTGACAAGAGAGTAATATTTTTAAGACCGAGTGGGCATGTCAGTCTTGGGCTGCATCAGAAGGTAGGGAGAAGGAAAGGAAAAGATGATGAAAAACCTTCTGGTAGCTTTTTCAGCAACTTCTGTTTATAAACTAATTATCTTAAGATTGTATTAAGATTTCCTGTATGTTAGCTACTTTTTTTTAATGCTTTTGGTTTCAACTGTCAGAGGAATGCCTGATTTGGTGTGTTGATGGTATACTAGGGGGAGTCAGACTTATTGTATTCCTGTTAAGGAAATAGATTGTGGGGCAGATATGTGTGCTTTGTTCCTGTGTTCATCCCCAGATCACTGATCCTCTAACTCTTCTTGCACCTAGGAAATCTATCACTGTCGGAGGGAAATAAAATACAGCAAAGATAAGATGTGGTATCTGGCAAAACTGGTAAGCAAAAAGTACTTTGCATTTGTTAGGATGCAAAATTTAATTGTTGTATTTGCCTTAACAGCCTAGTTCAATCACAGCCTAATCAGTGTCTTCGTAATAGCGTCCTGGGGAGGAGCATCCATCTGTGCAGGAGAACAGTTGTTTGAGGTTTGCTTTAGCTGCTCTGTCCTCGTTTGCTCTCAGATGTGTGCTCAGGAGCCTGTGCAGATATGCACTGTGGAAGAGTTTTCATGTTGGTTTCTGCCTAGTAATAGATGGTGAGGGGAACTTTGAAGGATAGCAATGGGCTGTGTTTAAGAAAAAAAAAAGTATGTTTTATCAAGATTTATTCAATATTTAGCTCAGAAGTTGTGTATGTTAGATATTACATTGATGAAATGGAGATGAAGGAAACAAAAAGCCTTTTGGTTTGCTCTTTATAGTGGCAGAATAATTTAAATACCATCTTCTAAATAGGAGATGATGAATATTTGTGATTGTGGAAGTTAACTTTAACACTTTGATTGCAGATAAAAGGAATGTCCATTGATCAGGCTCTTGCTCAGTTGGAATTTAGTGATAAAAAAGGAGCAAAGGTGATCAAAGAGGTATGTAGTAGTATTCTTTAACACTCCTAGTTTCAAGAAAGCCTTAAAGACCTATCACCAGAAGTTTAGAAATGTTTAATGTGTGTTTCTGTTAAGCCTATGGGGAGCACATTCAAATAACATTTTTGTAGCATTCATGTAATGTGATTTATGAATATGCAGAGGTCACTTGTGCTGGCTGTTTTGACTTGTAATGATAGTAAATTACATGTGGGCACCCTCTGTAAGGGTGTTGAGTTCGTGGTAAATAATGCAGAATCCCTGTCAATAGCAGCTGCTACATCTGTGTGCTTTGGTTCCTAAAGTGGGAAGAGATGAAGAATTATCATTAGGGAAAGGACTGAGTTCTGCAATGGCATGAAAGCTTTTCCTGATGCTGTGGTTGTCAGGAGTCTCCAATTACTCATTTTCTTGGCCAAAGCATTGATTTCTGGCACAATAATGAAAAAGAAATACTGGGTATTAGCTGAAAATATTGAAGGGACTAAGTTCATTTTGCCCACCTTGGAGTTTGTTTCTAGTCTGGTATCTAGTTAGGCAAAGGTTGATGGATAGAAGGCTGACAAATGCTGGTGGGAACCATCTTTTCCACTCCCTTTCCTCCCTAAAAGTGTAATAAAGTTGTCCTGAAGCTTTTCAGTCTGTATGCAAAGAACACACTTAGGTGAAAGATTTCTATCTTTGAACAATTTTGTTCTCTTTAGAATACTTTTTCTGTAACTGCCTTAAACTTGCAATTTCTTCCGTGTTATCTAGAGATGAGAAACAGTATTGCTTAAACTCCTACTCAGTATTTCCATTTCTTTTCCTTTTGGTTCAGGTTCTGTTAGAAGCTCAGGAGATGGCAGTAAGAAATCACAACGTGGAATTCAAATCTAATTTACATATAGGTACGTTTTCTTCTTATTTTAATGCAGAAAAATGTCATCTTACCCTACCAAAAAGCCTTATCCTTAAGGTTTTGTTGCTTCAGATCAGCAGAAATGAATAGGGGATAGTTTCTGGTAAACTTATCTTTACCAAAACATGGCAGGTGTGCTTCTGACTTGCAGCACCACTGAAGTCAGTGTGGTGGTTGAGCCTTCAGCCAGCACTTGGTTGTAGTTGGTGTCTGACTGGTGTTCTTCTGGCATCTACTAGGTGTGTTGTTTTTAAGGTGCATTTGAGAGTGGAATTTCTGCTCCCTGTGTGAATACAAAGTCCTGAAGAAGGTGTTTGCCCTGATTATGAAAGACTAGACAGCAAGAAGCAAACTGTTGTTACTTTTTAATGTTCTCAGCAAACATTAATGCTGGAAGGTTTGTCCGTGGCTACTGCTACTGGATTTGCAAGCATCTAAACGTCCCTAAGAAACAGTATAAAAGTAAATTAATATTGATAGTAGATTTCTTAATAGAAAGGCTTTGTTATTACAAGCTTATCCTGTAATAATCTAGAACTACAGCACTTGCTTGCCTAGATAAATGTTTATTTTTAGGTGTTTTTATGTCCAAGTTAAAAAAAATTCCTGTTTTGCCCAATATGGTGTAAATGTTATTAAGCTGACATCGTAGGCTTAAAGTAACCTGGATTGTAGAGCAGATTTGATTAGAATTCTTTGGAGCCTTCAAGGCCTCTGCCATAAGAAGGTTTATCTGCTAGTGCAGTACTGGATGTGTAGATAATGAAAATACCTGTGATGAATGCAATAAAGGGAGTGAGGAGGGAAAATGAAGTCTGTAAGACGCCTACAGGAATTCACGACACAAACTACTGAAAAGCAATGGAATTAATACCACCTTCAGAAGAGCTGTATAATCTAGCAAGTGCTCAGTGTAGCTTCCTTTGGATCTGTCCTTTACCAGACATTTATCTTTTCATGCATGCACGCTTTTGAAATTCCCCTTTTTGATGCTTCTGAAGAGTGCTAATTCAACTCGTGGGTTCCTCCGTAGTAGTAATCTGCTAAACGTAACAGAAGAGAGATGGAGGAGAGAAGCCCAAGCAGAATTAACTTTTTATATGCAGTCATGAGAAATGCACTGGCAAGGCCATGTTTCAGTTGCAGATGTGTAGTGCCTGGTTCTTGACTGAACAGTCTCTTCTCCCCTGGCTCTCTCCTCCAGCCGAGTCGGTGACGGGCAGAGGCCGCTACGTGAAGCGCATTCGGTACCACGGCAAAGGCATGTTTGGCATCATGAAAATCGTCAGGTGCCATTACTTTGTGAAGCTGGTGGAAGGTCCTCCTCCTCCTCCAGAGCCACCAAGGACTGGTTTTGACCAAGCAAAAGAATACGTGCAGCAGCTGCGAAGCAGAACCCTTGTCCATACACTGTGACAAACTTTTATGTGACTGTATAGGTATTTCTTGTTTAAAAATGTAATTATATAAAAGAATTATTAAAATGGTGTTTTGGTTAAATTTTTTGGTGCTGCTGGAGCTGGATGATGCAAGAATGATCATAGGTGGTTTTTCTTACTTGTCAAGCTATAGGTGTGGAAAAATCTTGGAAAAGCAGCTATAGATGTTACTTTTTCTGAGTTACTTGGACCACAGCATTCAAGCTTTGCCCTGGACTATCAAATCTAGAACACAGGGTGCCATTATGAAGCTTGTAAGGAGCTGTGGTTGTCCTCAAATTCACATGGTTGTCTCTGTATGGTTGGGTCTTTTATTGTAAAAGTATATGCCTGACAATCACATTGCAAGATTAAGACTTGGACTAAAATTACTAAAATTTGACATCTTAAAGTACAACAATGAAACAAAACAAGTAACAATAATAGCTGAGATTATCAGGCATCAGTTTATGGTTTCTTCATCTGCACTGTAATGCTCTTTCCTTACAGCCCCTGTTGTGCATCTTGGGCATTGTGCCTGGGAGTGAGGAATAAAAAAACTCATTTAAGGTTCATGGTATGGCAGAGTCGGTAGGTGGCAATGTTTAGTTTGTCAGAGAGGAGAGGCAGTGAAAACTTGCAGCATGTTGAAACTCTTCTTGATTCTGACCATGGCATTAATAGTCTGGTATGTGCATGGAGTTCAGGCTGTTCTCTGTGGAACCTCAGTATGGTAACGGGCACAATATGGAGAAAAGTGTGTCTTGGTGGAAAGAGAACTAATTATTCTGCACTGTCTGGAAACAAATTGCTTCTGCAATGTTGAGGTGAGCAAAATTCTCCATGGATTTAATAGGGAATGGCTTGTTGCATATACTAATCAGGCTTTCAGTGCTCTGAAAACAATCCCATTTTTATCATTACTTCTTTGAAAAGAAAAACACAGGTCAATAAGGGGAATCTCATTTCACCCAGTCAAATTTTCAGCTCAGATGGCCAAAGATCATGAACATTAGCATAAAAAGAGAATCAGTAGTTGCTTGTTTATGCGAATAGCTCATACTTAGACCTTTCTTTTCTGTTCTGGGAACACTGGAATGGGAGATCGATTGCTTACCTCTGTTAAGTCTTTTTTACCACCCCAGCTAGTGGTAGCCTTTCTTACATGGGATTACTTTGATCAGTACTTGAACATGGTAAAGGGACAGTTCTTGTAAGGAAACAAATTCGCTTTGTTGGCTTAATGAGGGTGGCATACAGCTGATTCTTTTAACTGCAGAAGAAAGGGTCTCATGATGTCAGAGTGTTAGGGCATTGTGAAGCTGCACAAGAACACCAATTCCATTAATGGGTGCTTGTTTGCAGTCTGTTTTTCTGCAGTGCACTTACTTGCTTTAAAGCCATGATTTAGTAACTTTTGTCTGCAAGGTATGTTCCCGATAAAACTCTCTATCTCTTTAGTCCCTGATGTGTGTTTGAAGAGCTGTTCCTGGAGTGCTATGATAAACAGCTGTGCTTTGCTCTGCCAGCTCCCATTAAACTCTTTTGTCATACTGAATCTCTTGCAAGTTGTAGTGAACTTAAATGACTTAATCTTTTGGGGTGGGTCACTGATCTCAGAGAAGACTAAGGAATTGTAAAATAATTCAAAGCTTAATAAGCACATGCCATCTAAGCATGGAAAATCTGGCTTCTAGATACTCTATTCCAATATGTTTCTCTTGCCTGCTGTAGTTGCTTTAGATCCTTTATGGACCTCCAGACAAGGTTGTATCCTTACAGATACTGTTGCTCAAGTTACAAAGCTGCAGATGGGGAGAGAAGTGAGAATGTGACTGATGTCTCTTCCAGCTCTTTTATGATGCAGCTGGTGACCCTGACACTCTCTTAAATGAACCTGGGCCTCTAAAAACTTTCAGTCAAAAAGCAAGGTTGTTGCTTGTCATTCTTGTTTGCTCTCTCAGAACAATAAGTGGGAAGATTCTTTTGTGCATGCTTTTCAGTATCCATTTTATTCCTTAGTACCCTTTTCTGTCTTGAAGGTGTTGGCTGAGGAAGCTCCACGGCCATGGAGATGAGGGGCTTGAGCTGGCTGGAGCTCTGCCTTTCCTTGCTAGGATGGTGGGTGTCTGAGGTGCTTTCTGTGATAGGTGCATCAGAACATTGGTATGGGACACTGCCTAAACCTTCTTAAAATTCAGTAAGATCTGGTGATAAAGCTTTTATACTGTCAAGTTCTCTATAGAAATTTTTTTTTATTCCACTGTTTTTTCTTGATAAATTTGTACATCTACACTTCAGATGAATATTTGGTGTGGATTCAGACATAAAAGTCTATGCCAACTGCAATAAGTCTTAGGCAGAAGATCGGTTATTGCTGTGACCTCCAGTAAAAGAGCATTCTTAAATGAACCATCCCCAGAAGGGAGGGAGAGAGGCACCTAGGCCTCTGATGATGCTAATTTTGTTAGTGACGTCTGGGGGCACTGTAAACTCACCGTCTGTCTGTCTGTCTGTCTGTCTGTGTGCTGATGTTACAGAAACTGGAGGAGGAGCAAGTATGCGTGAAGGTGTAGGAAGACTTCAGGGAAATCTGAAGAGAGCAGAACTGTGAGCTGTGATCAGCAATGTGAGATTTAATTGAGGAAAACTTAAAAACCTGCTGTTGGGCTCCTCCATAAACATTTTAAAGTATCCAGCGAGAAAGCTGAAGCACTTTTGTCAGCCTGATGTCTTTTTGGATATGGTTTTTTTTTTCTTCCTTTATGAAGCTCCTGAGCAGTTACTGAGGAGGTAGTTCATCAAAAGAAAGACTCAGGAGTATAGTTATAAAGTGATCACCATGGAAGATAAATGTGAGTCTGACAGACAATGACAGGACAGTTAAAGACCTCTGATTCTGGTCAGGTCTGTACTGGAGATTGCTGTTGTGAGCTGGACTGTGTTAGGGCTGGGGTGTTACCTGGGCACAGAGAGGCACGTTCTGCCCAGTGCTTCAGCTCTGTTGCTGTACCTGGCATGAACTGGACTAGACCAAGGTCACGCAGCACAAATCTGATTTCCCCTGTTTGCACAAACGGAAGGTGTGTAACAGTCCTGCCACCTCTGCTTTGTGGAGTTTCTTGCAAAATCCTTCAGTGACTGGAGTGAAGGAGCTGTAGGAATTGTGGTTTGCTTTCTGCCAGTCCCTATGAAAAGCCACTGCTGGAGTGCTGGAAAGTCATTGGCAAATGGAATTCTCCTCTAACTAGAAATAAGGTTACTCCTAATATCCTCAATGAACCATAGAGAGTGTGACATTCTTCAGCATATGAGCTATAGTCCTGCATGCCCCTATTTCTGGCTTTTTAAAGAACAAACCTTTATTGCTGAGTGAGGTATGTCCCGCTACACTTCAGTTGTGTCATTTAAAATAATTAAAGACACTGTAATAGCAATAATAAGGATAGCATGAGTTCCTGTTTGCTGGATCCTTAGGTAGGGAAAATAACCTGGAAGGAGGGAAAATTTCAGGAAGTGACTTTTGAGCAGACTGAAGTAAGGAACAAGGTGTCTCTTGGGAGCAGTCAGCACGTGCAGAGCTTGATGTGTTTGCTCTGTAACATCAACTCTCTTGTTTCAAGGAAGTTGTATGCTAATACAGAGGGTGGGCTGCCATTGAAGAGACCGAGCCAAGGAGAGTGTAACTTTACACTGGGCAAATGGGGCATCCACCTCAGAGTACTAGCTGGGGAAATTAATCTGGGAATCTGTGTAATGCACTTGAACAGAGCGTTCTTGAAACTAAAGACAGAACATGGGGCAGAGCATCTGAGCAACTGCTGCATCAGTGGGTGCTACCTCTGTGTAGTACAGCCATCAAGTTCTGTGTGGTGAAATGAATGTCCTGTGAACCTAGGTTCACTCCCTTTTTCCTTCCTCTAAAATCAATTAAATGGAAGCTTAAACCATATTGGTATTCATATGATATCATTGTTTTAAATTAGCTTGGAGTTGGGACCATATTCAAAACCACATCAAGTCATCTTTGTCTGTCTAACAATGCTGGAAATCCAGCCACCTCTCTGGTAGCCTGGACAGCTTCTTGCAAAGCCCAGCCTGAGTCTCTCAAGCTGTACTCTCTTGTCCTTGTCCTTTCTTCTGTCACTGGTGCTACTGAAAGGTGGTTGACTATCACCTTACAACTCATCAGATCACCCTCCTAAGCACCTTTTTGGCAGGATGAACAAGCCCGGCTCCTCATAAACCTCATTCTCTAGCCCTTATGCTGTGTCTCCTTCAGTTGCCCCATCTCTGTTGCAGTGGGGGACCTAAAACCAGACTCAGTGTTCCAGGTACAGTTTCACCAGCACTGATGAGAAGGAAATAATTTCCCTTGTCTGGCCATGCTTTTAATGGAGACAGTTATGCAGTTTGCTGTATCTGTGATGAGAATGTGTTGTTGGTTCATGTTCAGCCTGATGTTCTTGTAAGTCCCACATCCTTTTTAGGTAGCTCATCAGAATTGCAGTGAGTACTGTGGCACCTGTGTTCCAGCTCTCCTTGCTGTTCTGTTTGCACTGGTGAGGACTCCTTTGCCATTAGGAAACTGTTCTGTTACATGGATGATATTTTTATCTCCTAATAGAAAACTCAGAAAGCAGTTTTCTGGCTTGTTATTACTCAAACTTGTAAGCTAGCTAAGAGTGAACTAAAGGCATTTGTACCTGCTGCTGTGGTAAACTCCACTGAAGTATTCAGCTGGTCTACATGTCTCCTGTTGGTTATCTCCTTCAGAGCAAGACAAACATAGGTCCTTACTGTATGCAGGCCATATAAATTAAAACCTTAGCTGAATTACAATGGAGTGGACTGTGAAGTGCACTGCTGTGGGCTGTTAAAGGATTGCTGTTCAAACCCAGCTCTTCTAGATGCCCCCAATTCCTCACCTTCTCTTTTCCCCACGTAAAGGTAGTGCATTAATATGAACTGGGTAGTTTGTAAACTACACGAGGGAAGATGTACTGGCCCAAGGTTATGGGCTAGAACAAGTAGTGGCATGCTATAAATCAGGTGTAATGGAACAGCTTGAGAGCACGCACAGAAGTCCTACTTCTCCTCACACTGTGTGTCCTAAACTCTGAAGGTAGAGCTGGCACAAATCCAGAAACCCCCACACATGGCTGATTTAAATTGCTAATAATGAGCCTTGTCCTGCTACCCTCTCTTCCAGAGTTTGAGTTCCCCGAATCATTCCAGTACAGGAAAGTGTACTGGAAAATTCTTAAAAGGCCTGT